GGTGACGAGGGACTTCTGTGGCTCCGGAGGCTGAGTGAAATGGGCGGGAGGGACCTGTGGTCTGCATTTCGGACAATCACACCCCCACCCCCACCCTGCAGTGTCCCTGCTAGACCTGCCATGAGCCTGTGAAGTGTGAAGGGTCCGGAAGACAGAATGAGATGTCCCTGCATCAGGGAGGCCTTGGGAGTTTCCCCCGGCAACAGCCAGACAGTCTGGCGTCTGTCCTCCTCGGGCCGGGGAGGGCGAGTGGCACTGGGGAGCAGTTCTCCAAAGGAACACATGCCCCTGACCCTTAAGGAACTTGTGGGAGTGGAACAAGCCTGAAGGTGACCCACCACCAAATCCTAGCCACCACCCAACCCCTGTCACCCCCCAATGGGTGGGAATGGAAGCAGTGGGCAAAGGCTGGGGCCTGGAGACCTGGGGGGCAGGGGAGACGGGGAGCTGGGGAGTTAGGGGCTGGAGGGGGCAGGGTGAGAAGGCTGACTGAGGGCAATGGGAAGGACAGCCGGCCGAGGAGCGGAGGAAAGGGGGTACAGCTAGAGAATGAGGGAGGGATGGCAACTTGGGCGGCGGCAGGGAAATGAGTGTTGGGAACTGGCCGAGGAAGCAGAACTTTTCCATTTGAGAGGTGAAGGCACCAGAGGGCCACCCCGACTCCAGGGGTTCCCCAGAGGCACCAGGCTTTGCTCTTAGCTGGGGGGGTTCCCAGAGGAAAGGGCTGAAAAGCCACGTGCTCAGCATACCAAGAGCTTACCCCCCCCCAAGGGCCCAGAGCAGACCCTGGGGGGCCAAGCAGGTCTCCCCGTAGGCTTCCTGCTTCCCGGCCCTGCCAGGAGCCGTCCCCCAGCCCAGTTCCAGCCTCCCCTGGCTCATCTCTGCCCAGTGCCCGTAATCAAGGGAGCATCCTGGGACCTGGGACCTGGGGCCCAGTGCTAAGGTGGGTGAGTGGGTGGGAGGGGCCAGAAGACCGATGCTGGGCATGAGGATTACCTGCCAGGGCACCCAGAGAGGGTCATCAGGGCGGCCAAGGTCCCCCTGTCCTGGCCCTCCCCATCGTACCCCCTGGGCTCCTGGCTCTTTCTCTCTCTGATTCAGCCCTTTGAGAAACCTCCATGTCAGCGTATCTACTTCCTGAGTGGGAAAGGAAGAGGGGGTGTTTGGGGGGACTTCCTAGCCTCCCCAGAGTCCGTTATGCAAACGAAGGAAATGGGCCCTAGAAATGAAACCGAGAAGCCCCAAATCAACGCCCTCTGGGAACCCAGGGAGGCCAGGTGTGTCGCTCCCCTAAGCCCAGCCGGCCCTCCCCAAGGCACAGAGTCCCCCCTGCCTCCCAGCCTGAACCCCTCCCCTAGAACCCAAGTTTACCGTCAGCGTCCACGCTGAGCAAGGCGAACAGGGTGGCAGGGCTTCCTCGGGAGGGACAACGGTCCACAGAGTTGGGACGCCAACCCCAGACGCTGGCCCTGGCCCCACCCGAACTTGCTCCCCCCAGCCCCTCTCCAGAAGCCGCAAACCCCTTCCCAGAGCACCTCGGCCCCATCACTGACGCTGCCTAGGAGGGAAGTCTCCCTGCAGGCCCTCGTGCTGCAGAAAGCAAGCGCACAACAGGCTTTGTGAACATGTGTGGAATGTGTGGGCCCTGCTCCATCCTCAGCCAGCCCCGCCCCGCCCGACCCCACAGCTGAATTCAATGAGACACACACAGCCCCTTACAGTGAGCGGTGCACGACGATGCTACAGTGTTACATCAGCACTGGCTATCCATTGCAGCCCTCTCCCCTCCACTGACATTCCCACCTGGCGGGGCCTGAGGTCGCACCTCATCCTGCCCACTAGGGGATCCCCAGGGTATCAAGAAACCCCTCCGGGTGGACTTCCTAAAGCACAGCCTAAGGGAACGGGTCTTCTTGGGAAACCAGTGAGCAGGCCCGGGTCAGCGGGGTGGACCCCAGAGTTGGGGTACTACGCGGTCCTGGAGCCAGGCCTGGAGCAAATGTGGAGCCAGGGCGCCACCTA